AAAAGAATGTTGGTGAACGTTAAGGGAGGTAGGAAACGCTAGAATGATGGCGGGAAAAGGGCGAGAGAGGGTGAGAGAGAGCGTCGATTAAAGAGCGTGCGTATTACGCAGAGACATACCACTTACGTATAGATAGGTCTATACATGATTATACATATAAATAGTACGCGCACACACAGGGAGCGAGTGAGAGAGAGAGAGAGAGAGAGAGCGCGAATGGATGGAATGCACGAGAGAAAGAGAGAGAGCAGATAGACACGAACCACTAAAGTATATTAAACGCGAGAGCACGTGTACGCGCGTGTACACGCGCCTCTCCTACCGATCGGTACCTTTTCGGCGTAAAGGAGTCTGTGCGTGTACACGCGCCTGCCAGGCTAGGATATATAGATATCTGTATATTGTATATTACATTTGTATAAAGAAGAAACTTTTCTACGGTTAATTTATTCGTGGCTGCATCGCCAAGTATAACATAGATGTTCACAAGCAAAAGGAGCACAACACGGGGAGAGAGAGAGAGAGAGAGAGAGAGAGTTAGGGGGGACAGATAGAGAGAGATGTTTAATCACCGGCGGAAAGGAAATGGACAGAGAAAAATACGGAAGGTTGGACTTGGACACTCTCGAGTGTTTTTCACTGCGACACGTTTCAATGAAAACGCGCGTGTACACGGGGATATGGAGAAAGGAAGAACGCGATAGTAGCGAGAGAGAGAGGGGGGTGTCGGAGAGGGAAATGAAAAAGAGAAATAGAAAGAAAGGAAGGAGGATGCTCTGAAAAGAAGCATTGTCCGCGTTTCCGAGCGTTTTCCTCCGCCTCGGTACACGATATATACGCTTTTATACTCGTTAACACTGGAGTTGTATCGAGCGGCCCTGTCGGAGCGTAGTAGAGTGTGGTATGACACGAGATCGAGATAATGCACGCGCGTTCGGCTGCGTGAGAGCGAGAAAGCGTCTGTAAGAATGAAACGTGCGCGCCTGTGTTCGATGCGTGTACGTGTGCGTGTGTGTATGGGTGTACTGCATGGGGACGACGAGAATGCGGGCAGATGGAAAAAGGACAATTGCGTGGGGTGGAGGGGGGGGGGCACGTACATAAGCGTGGAGAAGAGAAGAGAACAGATCGAGCAACGGGAGGGGGGAGGGGAGAAGGAGGAGCAGCACGCGTGAAATCTCCTCTACGTGTTCGTACGTATACGCGTACACACACCACCATACATTTTGTACGTGTACAAATACACACGTTCGAGGGTAGTTTCCATTTTCTTATAATTCTCTTCTTTCTTTCCAGTATTATCTAGTCGTGCGAGTTTTATTAAATATCGTTTCGTTAGGGAACGGGGAACAAGCGATATATCGCGTGGTGGTTGCCAGGCTGCTGCTCTGTCTTATATACACACACAAAACACACGGGAGTATATGAACGGAGGAAATTCGCGTTAGCGCTCTTCTTTCACTTTTTAAACCGAACAGTTACGTAATAATATATATAGTTGGATAGACCGAGGGGTAATCGCTTTCCCTGTTAGCTCGACAAGTAATTCCAAGTACTTGTCGCCCGCCGTGGAATAATCGAAACGCTTTCGTTTCACCTATCTGCTCTGGTTGGAGGTGAGCGGTCGCTCGGTGACTAGAGTAGTGGTGTTTAATTGCACGGTAACAGCGCTTCCCACGCGGTCGGAATTCACCGTGTACAAAGGTGTGTTAACTTTCCATTCTTGCTCGAGCCGCTTGATCGTTGAAGAATGTATATACACGCCGACGACGTTCCACGGGACACCATTGTGCTCCGGTCGTGTGTAAAGCCGTTCGATTCGATTGGTTGGCTTCTTTTTTTTTTTTTTAAACCGGCGGTGCTAATACAGAAAGCGATTTGAAATTTACGTGTTCTTGGGGGTTTGAAATTTAGTGGAATCTGACAACGGGGGGTGAATTCTCGAAATTACGATCACGGGCGGGGGAGATTTTCGATTTGGAAATTCGCAAGGTACGAGGGAAGGTCCGTTCGACGAATTTTCTTCCGATGGCTCGCTCGACTTCGTCCTCCGCGAAGAAGCAGCGAGATACGAGAGGAAACGAAACGTGGACGCGTTCGCTGCCGCGCGCTAACTTTCCAACGAAATTCGCGAGATACGATTGCTCGAAAGTTCACGCGACAGGGAATACGTCGACGTGTTGATTAACATTTGTCACGCGACGCCTCGAAATCGATCTCTTCTCGTATCTTTCCACTTGCAAGTGAGAAAACAGGGGGAGACTTGCCGGACGTCGACCGCGATCGGTGGTCGTTCTCGCGAATATTCCGAGTCTCTGCGGACGTTCGTTCGTTTGGTTTCGCCGCTTTTCTCGTTGTACTTTCCCAACGAACGGTGTAGCAGGAAATGAAGAACGGAAGATCTGTGCACACACCGGTGGATGAAAAAGTTGGAGACCGGACGCGCGGATGTTCGCCGAGATTCTCGTCTGATTCCCGGGCAAGAAACGATCACCGAAATGTTAATCAGGGGGTTACGATGATCGTATGCGCGCGGGACTGTATGTGTCATAAGGTTGTGTGTGTGTGCGCGCGCGCGCGCCTGCCTCGCCAAGCGAAAAATATGAGGACGAAACGTAAGTTTTTATTAATATTAACTCTATATGCTCTGTATATGTCTTGTAAATATATACATATATACATATATACGTATGTATATATTATATTTTTATGCATTTCTGTTTAACACATTCGAAGCAGTAGCTTTGTCGAGGACACAGACGCAGAAGTTCTTTCCGGTTTTCACTATTTTCTCTTATTCTCAATCATTCGATCCTCGGATTTATCAGTTCAGGGATTAGCAGTCCTGTCGCTCTTTGCAATGTACGTGTGGTTTTATCGGGCGAAAGATAGGTATTACACGCAGAGGCTATGACACACAGGTCGAGACGTGCGATCGATTCCGCTTCGCAAATATTTCCCAATTTTTTTTCTTTCTTTTCTTTTTCCGTTCGATCTTTCTTTCGGCGTTCACGTTGTCGTTGTCGTCGTCGTCGTCGCATCGTACTTAGGGCAGCGGTGGTAGTAGCTTTCGCAAGAATCTTGTTCCGGTGAATCGAACGGGAAACGCACCACCGTGTAGTAGAGTACATTCGTCTATCTCGCGCCGCTCCACAAACAGGCGTTATTTAAGAAAAGAGTTACGCATGCACGCACAGAAAGTGGTGGTGTCGCGCGTAGGAATGTGTCGTCCTCGCAGTGAGAGAAACGATCGAGAGAAAGACAGAAGGAAAAGCCTTTTGGAAACACATATTCGACCGGTACGAATATTCGTCGACGATCAAATCAAATAAAAGGAAAGAGACGATATGTACGCATATACGATAGAATCGACGAATCGCCTGGTTAAACTCTCTGAACGAACGTAAAGCGTATTAGGATTGGTGTTCGGTCGCCAGCGTCTCCCCGTTATGTGAAAACGAGCTCTGTTCTCGTCGCATCGGCAGGATCGCGTTTCTACCGTGTTGGTCTCCTTGTGAAGGGCCTGAATTTCTGGAAACCGTAATTGCAGAGCGTCAACATCGACATAACTAGAGATACATACATATATCTTTCTACGTACACCGGCGTACAATTTACCGAAAAACAAAAAAAACATGCAAAATAAACCGAGAAACAACAACGCAAAAGCAAAGTGGTGTAAAAGATAAGGAAGATGAAGAAGGAGAAGAAAAGAATTGCAGAAAACG